TGTCACACAGAAAACCCAGGTTCGATTCCCCACATGGGTACAATGTGTGAACCCCTTTTCTGGTGTCCCCCGCCGTGATATTGCTAGAATATTGCTAAAAGCCGGGGAAAACAATACTCACTTACTGATGTTATAGCTCTGTTGACACAGATAACAGGACCAAGAAACAGGAAGTGGCTTCAAGGCTTAAAATTTTACATTATTTATTGAAACCCAATACAATGAATACCACAGAAAATAAGAAGTTTCAAATATGCCAGTTTGAAAAGATTTGTATTTTCCCCCAATTTACATGCAAAGGGCACAATGTTTGGAATCCGAGCTAAATCTGTGCATGCATGGAATTAACGTCATCAATCAGGTATACTGAGATAAGCCCAACAATGTGGTGTGCACTTCATTCTGCCTGATTAAATAAGCATTGCCGAGGAATTGACTCTCTAAAATACAATTGATTTATTTCTATGTCTTGACATTGAGATCATTTGTGGAGGTGAGGTGAGGTGAGTTGAAATGTACTAGTCCGGGCTAATGCAGTTTCTATAGTGCCAGCCCACTGAGATCCATGCAGTTTAACATGACACAGTATACCGACTCCAAGCCGATCAGTCCTTGTTTTAGCCCCTAACTGCCGAGTGCCAGGCAGGGTAACAACAAGTACCATCTTTAAACCTCTTTTGGTATGATAAGGCCGGGATCGAACACCAACCCTTCCGCTCTCGGGGCAGATGCTCTACCACTAGACCACGGAGACAAACCGTTCATTTGTGGAACAGTCAGTATCTTCCCCTCTTTACCATGTAGAAATGATGCATTGAAAAAAGACAATATATAGCTTTTTAATGGTTTTTCAACTGAACACTCCAATCAATATTTTGCCGAGATATCATTTTTCTAAAGGCCATAGTCAGGTTTCTGCAACTGAAATGAAACGTTTCTGTAAAAAAAATGTTATTCTTTCAACAACAGAACTCTATGAAAAAAAAGGGAAATGTTAAGGATATTCAGAAAATCAAATGAATAAAAACAAATTCTGTACTTTTCAAAACAGAAGGTGATATTGATTTACATATATGATTTGTTTGTTTTTTAACTCTGAGCACATCAATATTCAAGCTATATGACAGTGGCTTGTAAATAATCGTGTTTGGATTCGACAATCCGGCGATACAGTATGGTGACATATATCATGAAGTCTAGCCCGAAATTCCCTGCGGGCGATATACATATAAAGACATAAGCACATTACGAGAAGCATGAATATGTCCTCTTTTGGTACAAATAAATAAAATATGTTAAAAAATGATGGCTGATGGTTGATTAAGATTAGAATAGTAAAAGAAAGAGGTGGATGATGGTTTGGAAATCACTTGGGTTGTGGTAAAAGAGAATAGGTGGGGGATGGTGGAACATCAGTGATGGATGCTGGGTGGGGGATGGTGGAACATTAGTGATGGATCCTTGGTGGGGAATGGTGGAACATCAGTGATGTATGCTGGGTGGGGGATGCTGGATGGGGGATGGTTGAACATCAGTGATGGATGCTGGGTGGGGGATGGTGGAACATCAGTGATGGATGCTGGGTGGGGGATGGTGGAACATCAGTGATGGATGCTGGGTGAATGGTGGAACATTAGTAATGGATGCTGGGTGGGGGATGATTGAACATCAGTGATGGATGCTGGGTGGGGGATGGTGGAACATCAGTGATGGATGCTGGGTGGGGGATGGTGGAACATCAGTGATGGATGCTGGATGGGGGATGGTGGAACATCAGTGATGGATGCTCGGTGGGGGATGGTGGAACATCAGTTATGGATGCTGGGTGGGGGATGGTGGAACATTAGTGATGGATCCTTGGTGGGGAATGGTGGAACATCAGTGATGTATGCTGGGTGGGGGATGCTGGATGGGGGATGGTTGAACATCAGTGATGGATGCTGGGTGGGGGATGGTGGAACATCAGTGATGGATGCTGGGTGGGGGATGGTGGAACATCAGTGATGGATGCTGGGTGAATGGTGGAACATTAGTAATGGATGCTGGGTGGGGGATGATTGAACATCAGTGATGGATGCTGGGTGGGGGATGGTGGAACATCAGTGATGGATGCTGGGTGGGGGATGGTGGAACATCAGTGATGGATGCTGGATGGGGGATGGTGGAACATCAGTGATGGATGCTCGGTGGGGGATGGTGGAACATCAGTTATGGATGCTCGGTGGGGGATGGTGGAACATCAGTGATGGATGCTGGGTGGGGGATGGTGGAACATCAGTGATGAATGCTGGGTGGGGGATGGTGGAACATCAGTGATGGATGCTGGATGGGGGATGGTGGAACATCAGTGATGAATGCTGGGTGGGGGATGGTGAAACATCAGTGATGGATGCTGGATGGGGGATGGTGGAACATCAGTGATGGATGCTGGGTGGGGGATGGTGGAACATCAGTGATGAATGCTGGGTGGGGGATGGTGGAACATCAGTGATGGATGCTCGGTGGGGGATGGTTTGAACATCAGTGATGGTATTGCTTGGTGGTGGATGGTGGAACATCAGTGATGGATGCTGGATGGGGGATGGTGGAACATCAGTGATGGATGCTCGGTGGGGGATGGTGGAACATCAGAGATGTAGGCTGGGTGGGGGATGCTGGAACATCAGTGATGAATGCTGGGTGGGGGATGGTGGAACATCAGTGATGGTATTGCTTGGTGGTGGATGGTGGAACATTAGTGATGGATGCTGGGTGGGGGATGGTGGAACATCAGTGATGAATGCTGGGTGGGGGATGGTGGAACATCAGTGATGGATGCTGGGTGGGGGATGGTGGAACATCAGTGATGAATGCTCGGTGGGGGATGGTGGAACATCAGTGATGGTATTGCTTGGTGGTGGATGGTGGAACATCAGTGATGGATGCTGGGTGGGGGATTGTGGAACATCAGTGATGAATGCTCGGTGGGGGATGGTGGAACATCAGTGATGGTATTGCTTGGTGGTGGATGGTGGAACATTAGTGATGGATGCTGGATGGGGGATGGTGGAACATCAGTGATGGATTCTGGGTAGGGTTTGGTGGGACATCCGTGATAGATGATCGGTGGGCGATGGATGAAGATTGATACCTGATGGGTGGCAAAGTGATGGTGGATGATCGATTGTGAATGGCACCAGCCATGACCAAACACAACTAGCTAACAACGGTATCTCAGTATGTCCCATCAAATGGGAAAGCTGTCGGGTGTCTGGAAATATTTCTAGTTACACACAACAGTCTTGTAGAATCTCGGTTCACAAATGTTATTGTTTATTCACTGTTAAATATCTGCCAGGTTATTTACTCTAAGTGCAATAATCTTGAATGTGACGCTAAACCCCATTTCACCTAACCTTAGAGTGTGTGACGCAATCAATCATTTGACTTTAAGGAAGAACTCCTAGATGTTTCTATTTTGAGTTGATATGAGAACTCGCAAGGTGACAGAATCCTGAACCAGAAACATGGAAACCTCTAGACCGGGGGCGGTACATGATATTAATGAAGCCATATTGAGAGGAGTGTGCAGGTAATTCTTTGCCTTCAAAAACAGCAAAAATAAAAGATGTTCAAATAAGATTGCTTCAAGATTTTTTCCTGTTGTAAATTTTAGATTAGTTAGTCAACATTAGTTTATCAGAAAACCTTATACATGTAATTCTGCATTTCATATCTATAAAGCTATTATACTGACATGACAAATTAATACCATCTTTTAAGCTCTCTCAACACCAATATATTCAAGTCTTTCAGAAATGTTTTCTGAATGTAATTCAATATAAGTAATCCAAAATAAGCAAGAAAATATAAACACAGAAGAATAACGTGACATCTAAGTCACCCATTAGTCTTTCTAATGCAAAACCTTCCGTGGTCTAGTGGTAGAGCGTCCGCCCAGAGAGCGGAAGGTCCAGGGTTTAATCCCCGGCCACGCATACAAAAAGACGTTAAAAGATGGTACTTGTTGTTATCCTGTCTGGCGCTCGGCATTAAGGGGCTAAAACAAGGACTGATCGGCTCGGAGTCAGTATACTGTGTTTGAGTGGGGTATTCATGTTAAACTGTGGCATGGTATCTCAGTGAGCTAGCACTATAAATCGGCATCAGTCCGGACTAGTACAAGCAGCCACACAAACACACACACGTACATGCACGTCACTATATAAGTGCAATAATCTTGGACGCGACGCTAAACCCCATTTCACCTCACCTTCTAATGAAAATGGTGCCATTTACGTTTTTCTGATGAAATGAACCACGAAGTGACCTTCAGTTACCGTTGCCAAAGTTTTAGCAGAGAGCGTTGTAATCTCTTGCTATTTATAAGTTTTTAAAAAGCTTGGAGATTAAATTTGAAAAATGATACAGAAAATTATCAAACATTTTTCATTTCACAATCCAGAAACATCCGATTCTATTCAGACATTTAACCAATATATTTTTAAGGCATTATTATACCTTCATATGTTGATTGGTAACAACAGTGAAATGTGCTCAAATTGAAAAAAAATCAATCATGCTCAGGCTGTAGGGACCGTTGCTTATAATTTCCATCACTGGATTGTCTGATATAGACACAATTAGGGCTGGGAAGGGTAACTCTGGTACCCGGGTACACACAGGACTACCCGGACCCATGGTTAATCACGTGATTAGTCAATTATCTAGAACTCTATGGTTACACTACAAGTCACTAATGTTCGCATTTCCTTCTGACGATGCAGCCATTCCTTCTGATTTTTCATTTGGTTGAATAAAGATATAACTTGATTCAACTTCAGGGTATGAATGACCAGATTGTTTAACACATGTATCTAAATATGTTTTGCCAGGGCTATGCTAACAATGTTCCATATCGGACATTTTAAGACATCTCCTGAGACCTACAGCGGGTACCTGGGTAGGCTCAGGTAATAGGGGGTTGGTACCCAGGTAGTAAATCTTGACTCGTCCCAGCCTTAGACAGAACTATTAATGAAGGATGGTAGATGGAGGAAGGTAGATGGACGATGGTAGATGGAGGACGGTAGATGAATGATGGTAGATGGAGGACGGCAGATGGAAGATGGTAGAGGTAGGATGGTAGAGGTAGGATGGTAGAGGTAGGATGGTAGATGGGGGATGGTAGAGGGAGGATGGTAGATGGAGGATGGTAGAGGTAGGATGGTAGGTGGATGATGGTAGAGGTAGGTTGGTAGAGGTAGGATGGTAGATGGAGGATGGTAGAGGTAGGATGGTAGATGGAGGATGGTAGAGGTAGAATGGTAGATGGAGGATGGTAGAGGTAGGATGGTAGATGGAGGATGGTAGAGGTAGGATGGTAGATGGAGGATGGTAGAGGTAGAATGGTAGATGGATGACGGCAGATGGAGGATGGTAGATGGAGGACGGTAGATGAATGATGGTAGATGGAGGGTGGCAGATGGAAGATGGTGGATGGAGGATGGTAGATGAATGATGGTAGATGGAGGATGGTAGAGGTAGGATGGTAGGTGGACGATGGTAGAGGTATGATGGTAGATGGAGGATGGTAGAGGGAGGATGGTAGAGGGAGGATGGTAGAAGGAGGATGGTAGAGGTAGGATGGTAGATGGAGGATGGTAGAGGTAGGATGGTAGATGGAGGATGGTAGAGGGAGGATGGTAGGTGGATGATGGTAGAGGTAGGATGGTAGAGGGAGGATGGTAGAGGTAGGATGGTAGATGGAGGATGGTAGAGGTAGAATGGTAGATGGAGGATGGTAGAGGTAGGATGGTAGATGGAGGATGGTAGAGGTAGGATGGTAGATGGAGGATGGTAGAGGTAGAATGGTAGATGGAGGATGGTAGAGGTAGAATGGTAGATGGAGGATGGTAGAGGTAGGATGGTAGATGGAGGATGGTAGAGGTAGGATGGTAGATGGAGGATGGTAGAGGTAGAATGGTAGATGGATGACGGCAGATGGAGGATGGTAGATGGAGGACGGTAGATGAATGATGGTAGATGGAGGACGGCAGATGGAAGATGGTAGATGGAGGACGGTAGATGAATGATGGTAGATGGAGGATGGTAGAGGTAGGATGGTAGGTGGATGATGGTAGAGGTAGGATGGTAGATGGAGGATGGTAGAGGGAGGATGGTAGAGGTAGGATGGTAGAGGTAGGATGGTAGATGGAGGATGGTAGAGGGAGGATGGTAGATGGAGGATGGTAGAGGTAGGATGGTAGAGGGAGCATGGTAGATGGACGATGGTAGAGGTAGGATGGTAGATGGAGGATGGTAGAGGTAGGATGGTAGATGGAGGATGGTAGAGGTAGGATGGTAGATGGGGGATGGTAGAGGTAGGATGGTAGGTGGACGATGGTAGAGGGAGGATGGTAGAGGTAGGATGGTAGAGGGAGGATGGTAGAGGTAGGATGGTAGATGGAGGACGGCAGATGGAGGACGGTAGAGGTAGGATGGTAGAGGTAGGATGGTAGAGGTAGGAAGGTAGATGGAGGATGGTAGATGGAGGATGGTAGAGGGAGGATGGTAGAGGTAGGATGGTAGATGGAGGACGGCAGATGGAGGACGGTAGAGGTAGGATGGTAGAGGTAGGATGGTAGAGGTAGGAAGGTAGATGGAGGATGGTAGATGGAGGATGGTAGAGGAAGGATGGCAGATGGAGGATGGTAGATGGACGATGGTAGATGGACGATGGTAGATGGACGATGGTAGATGGAGGACAGCAGATGGAGGACGGTAGAGGTAGGATGGTAGAGGTAGGATGGTAGAGGTAGGATGGTAGAGGTAGGATGGTAGATGGAGGATGGTAGATGGAGGATGGTAGATGGACGATGGTAGATGGAGGATGGTAGAGGTAGGATGGCAGTTGCATAAAGGTCCATGGTTAGGGGTGGGGTATGTGAGAGCTGGGCTGGGGAACAATGGGTACAGATACTAACGAGTGGTGGACACACAATTATACACTAACTAAATATTCCCACTCCCATAAATCATTCTGTGAAGACTACAGTTATAACATAACACCATAATTGCAGTTTTAAACTGTTGACAAGAGACATGTCTGAACCTGAACAAACAGCTGATTATTTATGGCAGACATCAAGACAGAAATACACACAATGGAACACAAACATTCCAGGATATTTGTCACCTCATCATAATCCATAATTATACAGGCTGCACGTGTCATATCCTAAAATTATACTCTCTCTTACAATGAAATCACTATGTTGCCAACTTCAATTCTAACATTAGCTGACATGATAAGTATTATCACAATCATCTGTGGTGGATCGCAACCCTGCCTTACTAACAAGTCCTATCATGGTTGACATGTGCCCTGCCTCAGTGCAAGTTACGTCATGGAAGTAAGTTAAGTGATAGACACAGTCCCCGAAATAAAGTCATGGCAAACGTCAAATAAAAACAAGTGTATAAGGAAACCCTCAAGTGTTTAAGGAACCTCTGAAAGTTGTAAAGGAAAGGCTGCTACAGCTGAGAAGGAGATGTGTATAGGCTGCTACAGTTGAGAAGGAGATGTGTATAGGCTGCTGGAGCTGAGAAGGAGATGTGTATAGGCTGCTGGAGCTGAGAAGGGGATGAGTATAGGCTGCTGGAGCTGAGAAGGAGATGTGTATAGGCTGCTGGAGCTGAGAAGGAGATGAGTATAGGCTGCTGGAACTGGGAAGGGGAGTATAGGCTGCTGGAGCTGAGAAGGGGATGAGTATAGGCTGCTGGAACTGAGAAGGGGATGTGTATAGGCTGCTGGAGCTGAGAAGGGGATGAGTATAGGCTGCTGGAGCTGAAAAGGGGAGTATAGGCTGCTGGAGCTGGGAAGGGGATGAGTATAGGCTGCTGGAGCTGAGAAGGAGATAAGTATAGGCTGCTGGAGCTGAGAAGGGGATGAGTATAGGCTGCTGGAGCTGAGAAGGGGGATGAGTATAGGCTGCTGGAGCTGAGAAGGGGATGGGTATAGGCTGCTGGAGCTGAGAATGGGATGAGTATAGGCTGCTGGAGCTGAGAAGGAGATGAGTATAGGCTGCTGGAGCTGAGAAGGGGATGTTTATAGGCTGCTAGAGCTGAGAAGGGGATGAGTATAGGCTGCTAGAGCTGAGAATGGGATGAGTATAGGCTGCTGGAGCTGAGAAGGGGATGGGTATAGGCTGCTGGAGCTGAGAAGGGGATGAGTATAGGCTGCTGGAGCTGAGAAGGGGATGGGTATAGGCTGCTGGAGCTGAGAAGGGGATGAGTATAGGCTGCTGGAGCTGAGAAGGGGATGGGTATAGGCTGCTGGAGCTGAGAAGGGGATGAGTATAGGCTGCTGGAGCTGAGAAGGGGATGAGTATAGGCTGCTAGAGCTGACAAGGGGATGTGTATAGGCTGCTGGAGCTGAGAAGGGGATGGGTATAGGCTGCTGGAGCTGAGAAGGGGATGAGTATAGGCTGCTGGAGCTGAGAAGGGGATGAGTATAGGCTGCTAGAGCTGACAAGGGGATGTGTATAGGCTGCTGGAGCTGAGAAGGTGATGAGTATAGGCTGCTGGAGCTGAGAAGGGGAGTATAGGCTGCTGGAGCTGAGAAGGTGATGAGTATAGGCTGCTGGAACTGGGAAGGGGAGTATAGGCTGCTGGAGCTGAGAAGGGGATGTGTATAGGCTGCTGGAGCTGAGAAGGTGATGAGTATAGGCTGCTGGAGCTGAGAAGGGGATGAGTATAGGCTGCTGGAGCTGAGAAGGGGATGAGTATAGGCTGCTAGAGCTGACAAGGGGATGTGTATAGGCTGCTGGAGCTGAGAAGGTGATGAGTATAGGCTGCTGGAGCTGAGAAGGTGATGAGTATAGGCTGCTAGAGCTGACAAGGGGATGAGTATAGGCTGCTGGAGCTGAGAAGGGGATGTGTATAGGCTGCTGGAGCTGAGAAGGTGATGAGTATAGGCTGCTGGAGCTGAGAGTGAGTGAGTTGGGTTTAACGCCGCTTTTAACAGTATTACAGTTATATCGCGGTGTGTCAGCTTAATATGGGAGGAAAGCCCAAAGTGATGCAGGTCTCAGACGTTTACCACTTCGGTGAAACCCACGAGCATGGGTATGGTGCTGACAAACCTAGAAACATAATCGGGGTGAACCAGGATTTGAACCCACAATCATAGGTTTCTGGCGTGCCCAAGGGACGCAACTATGCACAGCAAATCGCGGCGCCTTAGACGACTTGGCCACCCGTGCCCCCGCTGGAGCTGAGAAGGGGATGTGTATAGGCTTCTAGATCTGAGAAGGGGATGTGTATAGGCTTCTAGATCTGAGAAGGGGATGTGTATAGGCGTCTAGAGATGAGAAGGGATGAGTACTGGAAAGAACAAGAAAGTCATTTTTTTCAAATCACTAATTAGAGTTCACAAAAAACATCCACTATTTAAGACATTACATCTTGCAGTTGACCCGTGAACATCCGGGGTAGAATAGGTCTTCAGTGACCCATGCTTGTCGTAAAAGGCAACTGTGCTTGTCGTAAGAGGCGACAAACGGGATCGGGTGGCCAGGCTTGCTGACTTGGTTGATGTATGTCATCGTATCCCAATTGCATGTCAGTCACTGGATGGTCTGGTCCAGACTTGATTATTTACAGACCACCGTCATATAGCTGGAATATTGCTGAGTGTGGCGTTAAACAACAAACAAACAAACATATTGTAGTTGACTTTAATTACTTTAGATGATCCCTTGCCCATATTCAACCACAAACATGTATTTAATGTCTTTAATATGACTTAATGCTCTTATTGTAAGCATTGTGATTTTTATATTTGCATGCTGTCAGCTAAAACTAACCCCATGTTGACACTGCCTATGTGAAATTTAGGGAGATGAGCATGATGTTTTCAAAAACTGACAGACCGCCTCCGTGGTCTTGTGGTAGAGCGTCCGCCCGGAGAGCGGAAGGTCCAGGGTTCGATCCCGGGCCGCGTCATACAAAAAGACGTTAAAAGATTGTACTTGTTGTTACCCTGTCTGGCGCTCGGCATTAATGGGCTAAAACAAGGACTGGTCGGCTCGGAGTCAGTATACTGTGTCTGAGTGGGGTATTCATGTTAAACTGCGGCATGGTATCTCAGTGAGCTAGCACTATAAATCGGCATCAGTCCGGACTAGTACAAGCAGCCATACACGTGCATGCACGTCGCTATATAAGTGCAATAATCTTGGACGCGACGTTAAACCCAATTTCACCTCACCTCACCTCACCTCAAAAACTGACATATGACGGCTGTGATGAAAGAAATGTGTCATCACTGACATATTCCCCGCTATGCCAGAACACCTGTAGCTTTCAAAACTATAAAAAAATATAACAAATTTTTAATGTGAAAACTAGAATTCTTTGATAATTATTTTATGTGAAACCAGAAGATTCTTTGAAAATTATTTCATTCAATGCATTTTTAAAATTGGAATCTTCAAACAAATTCCAGTGAAATCGGATAATTGGTTGCAAGCAATGGCGGCAGTATTTTGGCCAAAAGTTACACTGAACTCTGTCCTGACTAGTGTGTCATCATACGAAGATGGGGAAGACAAATGCTCACACTATCAACCACTGGTTTGTCTGCTCCAGATCCAAAGTTACACTGTCGACTTCTGTGAAACAGTTGTAAAGATACATGATCATCCATCTGATGAGGAAAAGCTCATCAATCTGACAACTATGAGTGAGTGAAGGTTATCTTATTATTATTCCAGCAATATCACAGCAGCATGCGGTCGACAGCCTGAGCAACAAGCCAAGCCCCCTGTGTGAGATGACACACAATCCACTAGGTCACGCTTTGTAACACTCTGTAACACTCTGATTCCCATTAGTCAGCTCTTACAACAAGCATTTTTTTTTCTTAGAGCGATTGAGTCGGGTTTAACGTCGCTTGTAACAGTATTCCAGTTATATCGCTGCATGTCAGCTTAATGTGGGAGGAAAGCCCGGAGTGATGCAGGTCTCAGACATTTACCACTTCGGTGAAACCCACGAACACGGGTATGGTGCTGACAAACCTAGAAACATATTCGGGGCGAACTGGGATCGAACCCACAATCAAGTTTCTGGCGTGCCCAGGGGATGCAACTCTGCACAGCAAATCGCAGCGCCCTAGACAACTGGGCCATCCGTGCCCCCTCTTTTTCTTGGAGCCTGATGTACCAGATCCATATTATACAAGTGAGCACTAATATTTCTGAGGTTCATAACTGCTCCAATGATAAGTTGAAAATACTGTTTTCTTCATTGTTGTATTTGTTTGCTTATTGTATAAAGCCATACTCCAGCTATATGACGGAGGTCTGTAAATAATCGAGTCTTGACCAGACAATCCAATGATTGACATCTTTGCCTGATCACTGATCCTGTTTGTTGCCTCTTACAAATGCATGGATTGCTGAAGATCATTCCAACATGGACCTTCACAGGGTTGTAACTGAGAAAACTAAACTAACCTAAATATTCGCGAGGTTGACAGAAGTTTCCTCAGCACTTTTCAGGAATCACAAACAAAACATTATCTAATGGTTTTCCAGACATTAAGTCAAGGTGATCCACAATCTCAGCAAATCAATTTCCACTCATAAAAAGCACTTCCACCATAAAACAAGCAAAAAGAGCCACCACGGTTCAAATAAACCATCCACTCTTTTTGTGTAATTGCAACAAAATTAATTCTATTAGGATCTCTTAAAATTTGAAAAATATCAGAATGCTTCAAACGCCTTCTTTTCTCTTCCTTCCTGTTTCCCGAAGATTGTGTTCTAAGCCATCACGCAAGAGTAAAACTATCTTTCCTTGTCTTGGGATGTCAAGCCTTCACAATTAGTTGCATCTCTTTTTTCCTCCAACTAAACGTTTC